TACCATATGCTATACTTTATGCTGTCACATGTGCAGTTCTGTTATTCACCTCCTGCTCAAATTTTTTATTTTACTATGTTACAAACTGATGTATTATAAATATTCATTGTATGCTGGTTTCATAATTCACAGGTCTGTGAGACTACAAATAATGGTTTTATATAAATTCATGTATACAGTATACAACTATAGCATCCACCATTGAGTTTAACTAAAATTTGTTCACCTAAGACAATATCTACAATATAAATATTTTTCTGAACACAACCTTTATATAAATTATAAACCTCTGTAGCTATTTCCTTTACATGCTATAGTCTTTTCATCTTTATATTCTTTTTTATAAAAAATTTCTGATCATTTATATTTAAAATTACTAAATAACTAAATAACATATATATATAGTACAGTTATTTAGTTATTTTAAATATATATATATATAAGCTGAGCTGAAATAAAAAGTCAGTTTTTGATGTTAAAGTATGATTAAGTTTAATACAGCAGTACCTCAGGATATGAATGCTCCAGCATACGAAATTTTCAGGATACGACATGAAATTCAAACATACTTTTGCTCCATGGTATAAACAAAAACTCACAATACAACGTTGCATTAGTTTGCAGTGCAATTTTTTATTCACTTCTGTTCATTGGTCTCAGTCCATGTGTTTGCTTTGTCGTGGAAGGATTTCTCTTGATAAAGGAAATCTTGAGGTATTATCAGAAAGTGATTGATTTTATTGAAAAGAAATATCCCGAAAAGGTTCACACTGGCTGTATTGCTGCTCGGAGTAATGACATTTGCCTAAGTCATTTTAAAAACATTTTAACTCCTCAGTCTCCATTGACGTATATATACGTCAAGCCTACATAGCGTTACGAAAAATGTGGTCCTTAAGGCCATTTTTGAAAAAAATTTTTTTTATTCAATTTTTGGAATGTTTTTTAGGTCCCGAAATTTTTTCAAAATTTTTTTCCCGCGCAAAAAAATTTTATCGCGATTTTAATGAGCCTATGTGAAGGCTCGATTAAGGCTTAATTGTTTTTTAATGGGAGTTTTTTATCAAAATTATTTCATGGTTTTTAAGTTGTAGCGCACGGATTTTCATTCAGTAAAGTTATTTAAAGTTAGTTTCTGATGTCAAAAACGACCTCCGATGGTTTTTTAATTTTTTTAATTAATATATTTTTATAAATATATAATTAATTAATTAGGGGGGGTCGGAAATCGCAATAAAATATTGAATTTTTTAAAAATATTTAAAAATTTCTGTGTCGCTTATAGTCACCCTACTTTAAACCCTTGTCCTCCCGAGACGTCTATGAGAATGTCCCGGGAAATCCGACTCCAGCTGTGTTCAAGGTCACCCAGCTGTGTAAACAATGACTCATCGGTGTTACATTTCACAGACAGGCGAAACAAAGGAAAATAAAATTTAAAGCTTTTTCTTCAAAATAAACGCATTTCTTTCGTTTTTTTTCTGTTTTAAGTATTTTTTACGTTTAATTGAAATCTATATAAAAAATGTCAATGTCCTTAAGGAGTTAANACCAAGCAACCTCTATCCAGTGAAAGTGCTGGTGGAAGTGAAGGAAAGAAAGCAAAAAGCAGTGAATAAAAACTTTTAAAAAATATATATAAAACAGAAAAGTTAAAAATTAGTGTTAAGTTATTTTTAAGTTATTGCTACATTATGTTATGTAAGTTAAGTTTTAGTATCATTTCCCTTCTCCCTTTCCTCCACCACCAGTTTACACCTCCACCGTTGTCTATCCTCAAAGGTAAAGTGCAAATAAAACTACAATTGTTTTTTTTTTTATCAATTATTATTCTATTATAGTTATTTATACATTTATAACTACAAATTGCATTTTTCAGTGTTTTCCTTACTAAAGTTATTTTTTTTCAATGTACTACTTAGCGTTAATTTGAGTGTGTTTTTCATGTTGGAACGGATTATTTGGTTTTACATGTAATCACATGAAGAAAAATGATTCACCTTACAACATTTTCATGATAGGATCTCAATTTCGGAACGGATTAATTTAGTATCCTGAGGTACTACTGTATATATAAACAGTATTTTTATAAATCAAATTAAGTGTTTTTGATATTTAAACATATTTTCAACAACAACATAACTGAACTGGAACATGAAAAATAGGACAAATTTAAAATTTAAAAGTAAATATTTTCACAATACATATGTTCAAACTATGCAGAATATGGAAGGATCATTATTATATGTTACACATGTAATATGTGCTTATATAAACAAAATCAAAAAATTACAACTATAACAATCAGATGATGTCTATGATACCACATGTAGGCATGTCTGGTGATCTGCTAGCATGAGAGTTGATATTAAAAGAATTTCTCAAATAAAACTAGTATTAGATTAGGGACTGTTTTTGAAAGTTTCATATCATCCAAAAATAGTATGTATTCATTGTTTACAACCATTTTTATAAGCTCTGTCTCTCTTCTATTCATTCTGAATAGGTGATTTTTTATATGCTCTGAAATCCTTGCTATTGGCTATCTAAATATTACTTTGATATACAGAAGATTGGTAGTATCAAATGAGTAAGATAGAGGGAATTGTATATTCCCTCTATCTTACTCATAATCAAAAATAATTCAAGGAGTTCTATCTTGAACTAAAAGCCTCCTAAGTCCAAGAAAAGAAGAAACTGGGAGGACAGTGTATTTGTGAGATACTAGCTTTAATAAAGTGTTGTGGTCAAAGATATAGTCACAGAATAGTACCATAAAATGAAAAGAATAGAATAAAAACTTCAAGAAAATTTTACATGTCTAACAAAGAAAACTAACCAATATTTCAGAAATATATGCTATCTCTTTGGACATTATTTTTCAAAATATGTTTTGTTAGACTAACAACACTGTTTAAGATGTCAGACTTGTTTGCATGTTATGATTATTGGATACATGCTTTTGATGTTTGAAATGTCAAGAAATAAAAAAAAATAAGGCATAAAAAAACTCTTGCTCAGAATAGGAGAAATACAGAGCTTGCAAAAATGTTTATACACAGTGGATATATATACTATTTTGCAATGATGTGAAACTTTTGAAAACATACCCAACTCAAAACTTTTTATTTGGGAAACTCAATATATAATTATACAGTGGGTGATTACTTAACAAACAGTTTGGACTGTGAAGAAATCAGACAACAAACACTTTTGCAATAGATTTTTATGTTTGGATAACAAACACATGTTTGAATAATAAACACCTCACAGAACAAACACAAGAAGTAGTGATGTAAAATAATCAATTGAGAAATTTTTGGAGAACTAAAGAAACAAACTCAACATTCATCACTAGGAGATAAAATTCAAGGTGTTCTGAAGCATGTCAGTTCTCCTCAATGATGACATTAAAAACGTTTTGGAAAGAAAACTTTGATATTCTTGAAGCTAACCGACTCATTCAAAAGGCATGGTCAAAATTCACCTAATGACAGTTGAATTCTGCTTGGTGAAAGTTGTGTTCCTCCTGCATTTAGGAAGACAGAGATGATGTAACAAGTTTATTCATAATTTCAAGGACAACTGCTAGAGATCTTGAATTGGGGGAGTGAATGAAGATGACATTGAAGAGCTCATAATGAAACCTGAAACTGATATGACAACAGAAGAATTCCAAGAACTCTTGAATGAAAAACACCAAGAATCTCAGCATGATGTGTTTTCTTCTGAAAAAGAAGACCAATAACAACATCTGCTATTAAAGATCTTTTGAAGAAGTGGGAAAATGTCAGAACAGCAGTCTTAGAATGGCATCCAGACCATAATAGGCTTGGGGATCTCTACAATGATAATGTTATTAATTACTTCCAAAAAATCCCGAAGAGAAAAACAATGAACATTGAACATATTATTTAATGTCCCACAAATGGGGAAAAAAAACATGATTGATAAAAATGCAAGACTGTGTAGGTATATAAGTTATTACAAATAAATTAATTTAGTAAGAAAGTATATAATTTTTTATTTACCTTTTATTTATTTTTTGGGGTCTCCAGAACAAATTAATCAAATTCCCATAAAAATCTATGGTAAATCGATAATCGGTTAACAAACAAGGTCTTGGAACAGATTATGTTCATTAATTGATCACCCACTGTATATACAAACTACTCAAATATTACTAATCAAATGATACAACCATATTCATATCATGACACAATCATTGACTAATCATTTGATTAATACTCTTAACCACTCAGCAATGAGCGACAAATATATTCGTCAAGGGCAATCATGTGGCAGTGGTGAGGGACGAATATACGCATTAAATTCTTTTGGGGGTATCACCAAAAACTAGCCTAAAACTGCAGCAAAAAAAAAAATTCACATAAAATATAAATTATGTAACAATAAAAAAAAGACTTTTGTTTACTAGACATAACTGTTTACAAAATTTTTTTTCGAAATAGTGAGAAAAACACGTGGAAAAAGACTCTAAAACTTTCACACATTTATTCTCCACTACTACTGGGAAGCACCATACCTGACTATTCCACTGTTGAATGGTTAATAAAACTAAAGTCAATAGACTCTCCAACATTAGTGCTACCAAATCACCAGACCCACCTACATAAAGTTTTGTAGACATCATCTACTAATTGTTATGGTCATAGTTTTGTTTTTGTCTAACACATGTAAGTTATTACAAGCCTACAGTTAATCTACATGCATATAACAATAATTATAGCTATTTCACTTTTTTATGATCTATATTCATATTTATACATGTTAACCTTGTATTTTTGCTTTTAATTGGTCTTTGTTAAACTTTTAACTGAATACAGACACATTTGCTGGAATTGCCATATAATATTCTACATTGTGACTTCTTTGCTTTGCTTTTTATTTTACATTTTGAACTTAAAGATGACAATAGATGTAGCCAAAAATTTCTTATCCAATTATAATTAATCACATTAAAATGAAAATTAATTTACCTAAAGAAACAGATATTTTTGTAGCTGATATTCCTCTCAATAACTGATATCCCATAGGCCCAACAACAACAGGTACAAGAGTACCTTCTCCAGATTCAGTCCTAATACACTGCATTGCCTTTCCAATTCCTTCAATCCAAACACGTCTTGACACTTTATCCTGAGGCCAAGGTACGTGAATAAGTTCTGTTCGAGGCCAAGACAATACATTTACCATAACTAGCTCATCTTCATCACTTGTACCAGGAGTTAAACCTACAAGAATATTAACAGAATAAATACAGGAAAATATAATAAGCTAAATTTATAGTATTTAATAATTAATATTAAACTCATTTAAACTTAACTTTAGAGAAATATTAAAAAACCCAAGAAACAAATTTTTAATTTGGAAAAGTAATTTTCAAGATAAATTGAAATTTATCTTAATAAAAGACAAAAACTGAATAATTTTATTTTGAATTTTGTATACAAAAATCTTATTTTCTGTCTTTATACTGTAATTTATAATCATATATTAATTGCTTCATCTTACCTGTTTGGTGATTATAACAACAAAACATTTAACTAAACCTAAATAATAATTTAATTGAATTTGTTAAAAACTAACATCCCCTGTTGTAGCCTCACCCGCTCTTATTTACATATAGAACTTGGAAAATTTGAACTACCATAATTGTTCATTAATTATTTTCGGGTGATCAATGTGTAGTATTGCAGTAGAGTATTGCAAAATATAAAAAAATAAAATCATAAAACTTCTGAATAAGTTATGTTGATTTAAAACCTAAAAAATTCCTCGCTATACACATTCAATTCTGAGCCAAACAAATTTGTTGCTCTTCCAGTCTTTGAGACCACTCTGCCATAGATTCACGTTGTCTACAATTATGAACTTTTTCTTCCTTTTCATGCTCTCACAGCTCTCGGCATTATTTATCAATCAATCTCAAAAATATTCACTTGAGATAAATCCAATAACTATTTCGAATATTTTGTACAATTACCTGTAGAAATTAATGCGTAACAATTCCAAAACCCGCCATAAGTACACATACTGCCATCTAGCATGATGATGCCACTTTTTTAATTCCTTGAAGATTTTGCTAATTAACCAATGTCAGTTCTTCAAATATAATAGTTAACTTCAATAATAGACTTTTCTTATAGATAATGACTTGACATAAAGTATTAATTCATGTGTTGCCATCTAGTGAAGAGAGAGACAAATAGACAGACAGAAATCCATTACAGTTTTATTTAATTAATAAAAAATCTGTAGGTTTGATTAGTGGTAAACATTCTGGAGATCATAAAGATGCTACAGTTAAAATTTGGTAATGATTGGTTCAGTAATTTGGTCACAAACAAAAAATACATTGTCTCTTTATATAGTAGTATAGATAATATTCTAGAAAAAATGTAAGTGATTATTATTCAAGATGCTATTACTTAGAGAATAATAAAAATTAACAATTAAATTGCTATTTTTTATTAATTATTTTACTGTTATATTTTTATAGTTTTTATCATTAATCAGAAATAAAATAATTTGAATTGGCCACTAATCTGAAATAATCAATTTTAGTTAAAGATAGACTCTTGACAGAATTCTATATATTCTGTCATTTCTTAATATTGTAATGATAATTTATTTTTAAACTTATCTTAAACAATTATGAAGCATCTTAGAAAATCATTTCTCAATCTCACAAAAAAAACCTTAATTAAATAAACCATAAATTTATTACTGGTTAAATTGAAAACTCTTACATCCTCTTCATTCCATATGACCCACCAGTGGCCAAGCAGTTCCATTACCTGAACACTGGGAGTTCAATTGTGAGTTTGTGTCTCACTAGGACGAGCTGGCCATGTGGGGTTTTCCGGTTTTCTCCACATCTGTAATGCCTGAATAGGGGCCAGTTACCCTTAAAAAGAAGGCATACCTGTAGGCAGATCGCCTAAGTATTATGTTGCCATAACTTATTAAAACAAACATCTTCCTTCTATGGCATATCATTCACTGATAATTCCTTGCATAAAATCCTAAAAATGTAATCCTTAAAATTGAACACCACTAAGATTTTATAGTTTATTTCTCTGTATAAAGCTGACCCTTGTTCATAGAAGTTATCAAAGAAGAACCTCCAGGCACTGGAAAGGGAATCAAATTCAAAAAATACATCGTTCTGATGTATTTTTCAAATGCTAATGCTATACCTGAAGCAGGTTTATAAATAAATTAAAAATGTTTGTTTGTTTATCTTAAACCCAACCTGGAAAAATACATCAGAATGAAAGATATGGTTTTGATATTATCCATACCTTAAGATGCACCTTTATCTGAGTTCTCCAACTTAGTAACTCTATTCTTTAAATCTATTTTATCCTTATCCAACCATAAAACCTCCAATTGTATAGATTCTATATATTTATCTATTAATTTAATTCTCTAAAAAACAAAAGACAACTTCTCTTCTAATAACAAAAGACTGCTAAAAAAAAATCCTTTAATAATAATTGCTTAGACATTGATTCACTCAGAGATCTCCAATGCAAACTTTACCCAAACTTCACATCTTTATCCTTATAGCAACCTTGACAGAAATCATGCCTATCTGACTACAATCTAAAAATATTGAAATTAAATAAAAAGATGCTTCACTAGTACTTATGGATTCTAAACAACTTGTATCTTAAGATCCAAAGACTCAGTCATTAGAGCTTCTTGGCATCCTTAAGCCTCGACTACAGTTCTACCAAATGAGGAGAGTTGAACTGAGCTACAGCTGAAAATCAATCAGCTCACAAAATTTGACAACTGGAATCCAGAATTGCAATTTGGCTCACAACTGAGCTCACCTCAAGATGAATTTCTTTATGCTTACACAATCTGTGTTCTATGATATTTAATTGTATTTACTTTATTATTCATTAAAATACATCCAATTTATTGCCTAGTTTTTGAATTTATATATGTAGTTTTTTTTCTTACATCTCTTCTGATTCTTCCTGTTTTTCTATAAATTCTGAGATTTTTTTTAATTTGAGGCAGTGACAGTCCCATCCACTTTGAATTATCAGAACTGCACTGTGCACTTTTGCTAGAAATGATTGTTGTTATTTTAAAATATTATATCTTTTATTACTTTTAATAATTTTCTTAATCTAAAAATTTTTTATAGTTCAATTACTTAATGCTCAAGTAATTTTTATTTAAATGCTCTCATTTTAAAAACAGATAAATAAAAATATGTTTGATATACTTTATATTTGTTATTATTGCAAATGCAATTTTATTGGGCCAGAGCCGAGAGCTGAGTTGGGATGTTAGCAGCAAAGCCCATTTTTGGGCTTTGCTGCTACACACTCTAGTCAGCTCTCAGCTCTGGCCCGAAGTCACATCAGAGCTTGGTATTTTCAAATAGCTGAGCTTTGATAAACTCCACTTTGGGCACAATCTGATAACTATCCTTTTGACACTTCAAATCTATATTATACACTCACCAAATAAACCATCACCAGTTCATAACAAAACAGAAAAATTCTTACTATGAATGTTTTCATCTATGTGAAATAGACACCTTCAGATATTAATGATATCGAACAAACGTCATAAAATAGAATGTTTTTTAAAAGTTCAGATTAATTATGTAATTCAAATATTTTGTGTTAAAATTTAAACACGTAAAATATTTGAAGCATATCCAAATAAATAACCAATTAATTTCAAGTAAATTATGATATAAATATCCTCCGTAATTTAAATTATCCTTAATGCAAGTTTTTGTCGTTGGAATCTAGTTCAAAAATGGTGTGCCATGCTGTGGAAAGCATGTCCGTTTCCTTGAAGTTAATAGCGACTCCCTGTTTAATTACACGATAGATCTCAAGCGATTCAAGGCACTTGAGTTGTGCCTTCTCCAATACTCTATGTAATAATTTAGCGTTATGTAGTTCAACCTGAACTTTCTCATTACTCGCATATGTTGCTAACGCCATAGTAGTCAGCTTTTTTCTTATGGAGTATTCATGTTCTTTCATCCTCATGGCAAGATCTCTGGCCGTTGCTCCATTGTATGTTAATGAGCGGTTAACTCTGTCATTGTGAAGAGGTACTGAATAAACCCCTGGAGAGTATGAGTCATCTATACAGTTTTTATCATTTCTGATGAGAGAGAAGACCGTTGGAGAGTGTCAATATGTTATGTGTACTTCAGTGGTCCTTGCAATTTCTCTATATATATTAGAAAGTGTTTGATTGTATGTGATAACCCTCATTCGTTCATCTTGTAGAATAGTCCTCGCCCTTTTATTTATATATTGTTTTATGAGATGCTTAACCAAAGAGGATGGGTATCCATGTTCTGTTGTAAGGGCCTTGATCAATTTGTTTTCCTTTTCATTTTGCTCCGAACAATGTGTGCGCCCCTTTTTTACCAAAGATCGAAAAGCAGAGACTTTGTAACAGTAAAGGTCATGTGAACAGTTAGGTATAAATAGAGGTGTATATGACTTCTTACGAAAAACACAGGTGGAAAGATGACCATGCTCCATTTTGATGGTGATATCCAAAAAATGTACTGTTGTATGACTCTCTTGTTCACCTTTCAATGACAGGCCATGGGGGTTATCGTTAAAATACTTAAGTACCAGGTCAAGGTTAAGTACTGTACCTTGTTCCATACTATGAGAATGTCATCAATGTACCTGACATATAATGCTATGTCCTCTTGAAATTTAGGTAATATGGTATTCTCGTGTTATCTGACCATTAATTCACAGAGTGTTCCTGATATTGGGCTACCCATAGGTACACCCCTCATCTGCCGGTAGGTTACCACTTCGTATTTGAAGAAGGACATATGTACCATCAAGTGTGAAAGTCTAACGCATCAGGGATATGTAACATCAAGTCTAACACATCAGGGAGATACTTATAAGAGCCCTCCACCTTTGCCAGAAGAAAATCTCTCAGCTCACAGAAACAGGGTTCCAGTTTTATAGATGGGAACAATGTTTGATAGTCACATACCGTAAAATATGCCATCATTGACTCGTTAAGATCCCGTAATTTTTAAGTACTTGTTCTGGATTAGTGACAGTGTACGTATGATCCTCTAGATTGCTAGTGATATATTTGTTAAGAAGTCTCTCCATTTTAATAGTAAGAGAAGTAGTTTTATCCACTACCGCATGTAACTGTTGTCCATTCTTATGGGTTTTTGCGAATACAAATATGCGAGGCAGAG